TCAATATGCTTGCTTCTCCCATGCAGCACTGGGTTTCTGGCAAGGTTGATTGCAGACTTGTTGTCAATCATCAACTTCAGAGGTTTGTCTACCTTAATCTTCAGATCCTGCAACAGATTCAGAATCCACACAGCTTGGCATGCAGTAACAGCACCTGCAATGTATTCAGCTTCACAGGTTGACAACGCCACAACAGGTTGCTTCTTGGAACACCAAGAAATGGAACCTCCCAGAAATTTGAACAAGTACCCAGATGTACTTCTTCTGTCAACTCTGTCTCCACACCAATCAGAGTCTGAATAACTCAGAAGTTCTGACTCATTATTTCCTCCAGAGGGAAATAACACTCCATACTTCAGAGTTCCTTTGATATACCTCAGAATCCTGACAGCAGCTTGGTAATGGGACCACTTAGGTTTACTCATGAACCTACTAACCATCCCAACTGAGTAGCAAATATCAGGTCTGGTATTGCACAGATACCTCAGAGAACCAACCAACTGTTTGAAGGTTGTAGCATCCACATCCTTTCCTCCAGAGTCTGAATCCAGTTTCTGATTTGTATCAGAAGGTGTGACAGCCATCTTACAATTCTTCAGATCAAATCTCTTCAGAAGTTCTAATTCATACTTGAGCTGATGCAAAATGATACCTTTCTCAGAATATCTGAACTCCATCCCTAGAAAGTATGTTATTTTGCCTAGATCAGTCATTTCAAATTCATTCATTAGAACCTTCTTGAACTTGACTATCTCCTGTTCAGAACTTCCAGTCAGCAGTATATCATCAACATATAAACATACCAGAGTCATATTGCCTTCAGGAGTATGCTGAACATAGACACCGTACTCCATCTCACATTTCTGAAAGCCTTGCTTCTTGAAAAATGAATCAATCTTCTGATTCCAAGCTCTGGGCGCTTGTTTCAATCCATATAGAGCTTTGTATAATCTGTACACCATCCCTTCCTGATTCTTTTTTACAAATCCAGGAGGTTGTGACACGTAAACTTCTTCTTCTAATGGACCATTCAGAAATGCAGATTTTACATCTAAATGCATCAGAGGCCAATTCCTGTTAGCAGCTATTGCAATCACCATTCTGATTGTTTCATGTCTTGCTACAGGTGCAAACACTTCAGAATAATCCAGCCCAGGTTTCTGTAGAAATCCTCTGGCTACCAACCTTGCTTTATGTTTGCCAATTGAGCCATCTAGCTTTAACTTCTGCTTGAAAATCCATCTGACGCTGATGGCTTTCTTGTCTTTTGGAAGTTCTGTCAGCTTCCAAGTCTTGTTTCTCTCTATAGCATCAAGTTCTTCTTTCATGGCCTTCAGCCAGAGCTTCTGCTTAAGAGCCTCCTCTGTACTTATAGGTTCAGAGTCTACTAACATGGCACACTGAATAACTTCTCCTTCAGAGTCTACTTCAGTGTCTTGCAGCATGTCAAATTCTGCAAATCTTCTGGGAACGCTTCTGATTCTTTGTGGTCTCTGAACTTGTTCAGAGTCTTGAGCTTCAGAGTTTCTAGCTTCAGATGCTTGACTTCCTCCAGAGCCTTGGCCATCTTTAGAGTATGAATTTCCACCAGAATCTGGATTACCATCAGAGTCTGGATCATCAGAGTCACCTTCATCTTCTGAGTCTTCTCCAGAGTCAGAATCACTATCAGAGTCAGAATCAACGTCAGAGTTTACTTCAATTTCAGAAATTCTTAACTCTGACTTTTCTTCAGAAGTTCTAACATCAGAATCAGATTGAGACTTATCCCAATTCCAAACTTCTGATTCCTTCACAATCACATCTCTGCTGAATTCAATTTTATTGGTTTCTGGACAATAGAGCTTGTATGCACCTGTACTGTGGTACCCTATCAGAATCATCACTTTGCTTCTATCATCCAGCTTCTGTCTTCTGGCTTCTGGAACATGTTTATAGCAAACAGAACCAAATACCTTCATATGACTAACACTTTGCTTGTCTCCAGTCCACTTCTGCATAGGAACTATTTCCTTCAACTTCTTCGTAGGACATCTGTTGAGTACATACGTTGCAGTGGCAACAGCTTCTCCCCAGAGCTTCTGAGGAAGCTTCTTCTCCTTTAGCATGCTTCTCACCATATCAAGCAAAGTACGGTTTCTTCTTTCAGCAAGACCATTGTGTTGAGGGGTATAAGGAGCAGTAACCTCATGCTCAATTCCATTCTCCTCACAGAACTTCTGGAACTCTTTGGAGTTATACTCACCTCCACCATCAGTTCTAAGAATCTTCAACTTCTGACCACTCTGATTCTCAGCCTTCATTCTGAACTTCTTGAATTCATCAAACACCTCATGTTTAAATTTAATAAGGGATACCCATGTCATTCTTGTGAATTCATCAACAAACAACACAAAGTATTTATTCCCTCCAATTGATGCTACTGGAAATGGACCACACACATCAGAGTGTACAACTCCCAAGGCATGTTTTGCTCTTGGAGCAACTTCTGATGCAAATGGCAATCTTGGTTGTTTTCCTTCCATGCAAACTTTGCATGACTTTTCAGGCTTCTTAATTGTAGGAATTCCATGTACCAATTTCTTTGAATTCAGATGTTGTAAGCTTCTGAAATTCAAATGACCAAATCTTCTGTGCCACAGCTCACTCTCCTTCTCAGTACTTGTTGCACTAAGACACTCTGAGTCTGCAGTTCTGACATTCACCTTGAATGTTCTATTCCTTCCCTGTTCTGACTCCATAATCAACTTCTGATTACAGTCATACAGCTTCAGAAGATTGTCCTTCATGGTAACTGAGAAACCTTTCTCAATTAATTGTCCCACACTCATCAGATTGCTTCTGATGCCAGGTACATACCACACATTCTGAATCAATGCTATTTTCCCATTGTTCAGAGTCACTCTGACATTTCCCATACCTTCTGCATTAAGATATTTGTCATCAGCACATCTGATCTTTGTTCTCTTTTCAGAGTTAAAGTCAACCAGCCATTTCTTGTTTCCAGTAAGATGATTTGAACAGCCAGTGTCCATATACCACCAGTCTGTCAGATCATCAGATTCAGAGGCCATCAATAGCACAGATTCGTCATCAGAACTTCTGGCTATATTTGCTTCTTCTGATTTCTTCTCCTTGTTTGACCAACAATCTCTAGCAAAGTGACCAAACTTCTTACAACAGTAACATTGGATCTTCTTCTTGTCATACTTCTCTTTTCCCTTCTGAGCATTCTTTTGTTTATCAGAGGTTGAGGTTTCTGACTTCTGACCACCATCAGATCTTCTCTTGGCTTCTGACTGCTTCTGATACCTCCTATCAGAAATTGCTTTCAGAGCCTGCTGCTCTACTTCCCTTTCAGAAGTTCTCTCAGTCAAACGCAACTCTTGCGCTTCTAAACTGCTCTGCAGCTCTTCAATTCTCATTGTGCTCAGATCTTTGGAATGTTCTATTGCTACCACAATGTAATCAAATTGAGGAGTAAGGGATCTCAATACTTTCTCCATGATTGTTTCTTCAGAAAGAGTTTCTCCACATGCCTTCATCTCATTAGTGATCAGAATCACTCTGGAGATGTATTCAGAAACTTTCTCATTATTCTTCATGTTGAGATTCTCATATTGCTTTCTCAAGGACTGAAGCTTCACCTTCTTCACTGATGCGTCACCACCATAACATCTCACCAGAGTGTCCCATGCAGCCTTTGCTGTTGTAGAGTCTGCAATCTTCTCAAACACGTTTACATCCACACATTGATGAATGAAGAACAATGCTTTCTGATCCTTCTTCCGTACTTCCTTCTGCGCGTTTTTCTGTTCATCGGTTGCATCTGCTGCTACTGGAACATAACCATCAGTGACAAGATCTAGAACATCTTGAGCACCAAATAGTACACGCATTTGGATCATCCAACGATTCCAGTTTTTACCATCAAATACTGGAAGTTTGGTGTTCATGTTGCCGTTTCCGTTCATCTTCTACTTTGCACAATACACTCAGATTTCTCACACAGTGTTTCCCAACCCACAGAATAAAATTCTGATCAGATTTTGTTCAAGATTCAACACGAATCTAAGAATCAAAATCAAACACACAAGACCTCACGTTCACTCGTGTTTCCCGTGTTTCCCAATGAATCTGAACCGGAGCTCTAGATACCAATTGTTGGTGCAAAGATAGAATAAATGATGAAAATAGGGAAATATTCTATTAAAGAGAATGACGGCAGAAGAAACAGGATTAAGAGTTACAATGATTGTCACCCTATTTATAGGCTAAAACTAGGGTTACTAGAATAAGATAAAATACTGAAATGCCCTCTAACAAACTTATGGGCTTAAGAAAATAATATAATAAAATATGAATTATTACTAATAAAATGGACCAATGTGAACAAATGTCACATATATCTTCTTGTGTGGTTGACGTCTCATTGTTAAACACCTATAATTTGAACAAAATTTAAATTAAGATAACACAAACAAAACAAGAACATTTAACTTTCAATCTTTACAACAACAACAATATAAACTTTTTACATGCTAATAACAAGGTTAACTTTACAACTAACATAAATAAATTACATGCATATGGATAAAGTGATTACCTTAACCCATAAATCCTTAATGCTTATAGAGACAATATCAAACATATATTTATAACATATTATTCACATGCATATCTGTTTGGTTGTTTCCGCGTCTACAAATAACTTTTATATAATGGTTAATACACACGTAACACATTAGCAACAATTTCAAGAATGCCACAAATTATACCACTTATTTTTGAAAAAAAATGAATTTTGGCTTTTTATTTCTTAAACTATTGACACATAAGATTATATCCCTCCACATTGGAAAAAATTAGATATAAATTAAAATTATTCAGAAGTAAAGTGAATATTATATGAGTTTTAAACCTTAATACCTGCTAGACTAGGAAGAAGACATGGTATATTGATCTTTGATTAAGCTTAAATTTATACTTTAAAAATCATAATGATCAAATGTTATGACTTACTTCTCTATATATGGCAGTGCTTTGTTTTGTATTTTTTGGATTTTGTTTGCAAACGATATGACAAGTCACTGCAGGGAATACCAACAAATGAGTTTGTAAATGAGAATCATCACGAAGCTTCTTCATCAACGTGTCATATACCAACAAATGATTCTACACCTTTTAATTTTACTCCAAGACCACATACTGCAAGTGATATGTTAGATGATGAAGACTCATCTGATGATTATTCAAGTGAAGAAATTGGTGAATATCAAAAGAGTTATACATTATACAACACCGTGTTTGCATTCACATCGCCTGAAATGAAAATTGATAACAATCAAAGAGGCAGAGGACCGCCTATCATAAGAATTCAGGGACAAACTTGCCATAGAATTGGAAGCATGCTTCCTTTTCCTGGACATTCACCAAAGTTTTCACAGTTATACATATACGACACCGACAATGAGATTGGTAATAGGATGCAAAGTTTTGGGTAAGTATTATCATTACAATGATATATTCAGCAGTTATTACAAATCCATTATATATTATAATAAGTTTTATAATGATTTAACATTGAGTTGTGCTATTATAACAAAAGTTTGTTCCTACATGCAGCAACAACTCTAATATTCTGCCAGACACTGTTGAAAAGTTGAAATGTATGTTGGGTGATGTCAAACCACATGCAAAGTCTTTTCGAATGGAAGCTGAAAGATTAAAGCACTGTGAATTTTGTGATCTAAAGTTAAATTTAATTTTTAAAAGACCCGCGGTTGGACGGATTTACAACCAACCAACAGTTTCAGAGGTAGTTGCACTTATTGTTAGTGATGTTGATACAGAGAATAAAAGAGATATCATACTTGAAAGACAGAGTGGTAGATTGAAAATAATTAGTGAGTTTCATCCAAGTTATATGGCATGTCAGTAACCACTTTTGTTTCCAAGAGGCGAAGATGGTTTTAAAAAGGGCGTGCTTCACAAGGAAAAAAATGTAAAGAAGTGGAATAACCTTATAATTAGAGAATGACTTATATTTAGAATTCAAACAAGAAGCAATGAACCGCTAACTTTGTTGTGCTCAAGATGGTTGTTTCAATAATTTTTAGTTGATGGATTTACTATGATGGAAGTAGAAAGACTGAATTTTATTCGCATGAATTAAAAAAAGCTTAGAGTGTCTAAGTATTCTAATTTGAACGAGTCTGAATAAGTAGTTGACACTGAAGGATCAACTAAAGGTAAGAGGGTTGTTCTACCGTCCAGTTATGTTGGTAGTAGGAAGTTAATGGAGAAACTATATTTTGATGGGATGGCAATTTGTAGCCATATTGGATTTTTTTCAATCTATTTATCACATTTACTTGCAATCCAAACTAGCCTAAAATTTAAAGACTTTTTTTCAAGATTAATTTTCAGCCACAAGATCGTCCTGACATCATCTCAAGAATCTTCAAAATAAAATTTGATGAGTTATTATCTAATATAAGAAAGAAACATCTTGCATGTATGTCAAAGAATTATGTCCCCTGTGTATTTTAATCTTATTCATACCAACAAATTTATTTCTTTGTTGTATTTTGTTTAATGTTTTGACTCAATGTCTGTTTTAGATCTTTACACAATCAAATTTCAAAAGCGTGGTTTACCACATGTGCATATTTTATTGTTCCTACATCTGTCATGCAAGTGTCCAACAGGGGATGATATACTACTAAAAAATACACTTTTGATAACATAATACTACTACGATTATGTTTTTCAGAGTTGTAGTATCATAAAAGAATATTGCTCAAGTGAATAAAAGATACTGGTAATTTTAATTGATCAATGTTATGTGATAGATTTAGATATTGCTCACCTTCAATTCATCCACATCAACCTTAAAGAAAGTGATATGTGGAAGCTTTTTAGCAATCTCTGCCAAAATTGGAGCAATGAAACAGCATGGACCACACCAAGAAGCAGTAAAATCAACCACAATTTGACAACATAATTTCCTTTTAGTACTTTGAAATTAACAAAAAAAAAACAATTTTATAGCATCACAAATCATATACAATAACATGATAACACAAAAAACATAGCAGTTAAAAATTCTAAGAACAAACTGCAACTTCATAAACTGAACCGAATTACCATTTTATACCTTCTTTTACTCAAAATATTTCACATATAAACAAACAAAACCAAAATTCCTCTCTATCTTCTAAACCAAAATGTTTGATTGGATGCAGCACTTCGATGATTTTCTTATATTGAATTTGAACAAATGCAAATGTGATTTCCGTCATTTGCAAGATATTCGTAGTTCTGATATGTGGAAGCTCGGATCTGAAAAAGTAAGATCACAATCAATGCACCAACCTATTCATCATTGGCTTTACAGCCACACAAAGCAAAAGTAAGAGTCTCACAATCCAAACTGATCTTTAGCCAAGACATGAGTTAAATCTAAGTGAAATCCAAAAAGATCAAATGCACATCTAATGCGAATCCAGGTTGATAGACCTCCCAACAACTTTGGACAGTAAATACAGTATAAAAAACAACCTTTCATTATGTCAACGAAATTTGAAATTCTACCCTGGCATGAATTCAAACAGACCTATAATGACAGCCCTCTCCTCAATAAATTCACACAAGCAAAGCACCTACAAAGGATCCTACTAAGTACTACAATCTAGCCTCTCCTAGACTGTCTAAGACCTGCCCTCATGGATTAGCCAACCCTGATGTACCATAGGTCCACTAAGTGTAGAAAACCTGATGACAACAGTCAATCTCCCCATCTCATGACAGTAACAGTTTTGGTTATCATAATGCCAAACTCTCACACTAATTCAAAAATTGTTTTAGATGAAAGCTACCAATCTTGTTAAAACAATCACAAACCAATATGAGCAAACAGATCTGATAATAATAAAAAAGCAAACCAAAACAAATTTGATCAAAATATGCCTTAACACATCCATGTTAGTCCCTTCAATATAGGCATGCATACTTGCATAAATCAAATAGGATATCCTTGCTTAACACAGAAGCAGACAGCAAAACCTTATGCTACCATAGGCAACAACCAAAAGCAGTCTAAAACCTTGCCTTATTGATAGTCAAAGTTAGTTAACAAACTCAAATTAAAAAAACAACTTTTGACAAAACCAAAGTAGTTTTCTAAACATAATAATGTTGATGCTTTTAACAGGTTTGCCATGATAAATCAACACACTTGTCCAAATGAGAGGTTGCAACCTCAAAACAGTTTAAGACAGCATAGATACAACCATAACTATGTTGATCATCAGCACCTCATATGAATCATCTCAACATTGGACATAACCATCAAACAAACAGAAGCCCTAACTCTAAAGGCAGTCATCAACTTAATGCTAGCAATAGATATTTGGATGAGCAAATCTTAAAAACAGATTTAAACAGAAAAGTTGCAGACTCAACATTCAAACTCAAAGTAGGATATCATGAGTTGACAACCTTCAAACTTATCCAACAAATTGTTCCATTCATACATGATAGACAGTTGCTACTTGTTGAAATACAAGAGACTAAGAGACATTTGAATAAACCGTGTGTTTTGAAAAGCACTACAGAGACATTATTATATATAAATAGAATACAAGTAATTACATGATATAGTCGATGTGAGACTATTCTATATACAAATATTCTCAACACTATATATATATATATATATTTACACATATCAACACTCCCCCTCAAGCTTGAGCATTTAAGTCAAATGTGTAACAGCCCAAATTTCATTAAATAATTAATTGTAGTAATTAATTGATTTAGTGGAATTTTATGTTAATATTGGAATTCATTTTTATTAATTGGAATTAATTTTTATTAATTGAAATTAATAGAGAATTGAAAGGAAATTGGAAGGAAAGAAAATAAAAGGGATATATAAGTGAGAAAGAAGAGAAAGGAAATTAGAGAAAACATTTGGAGAGAAAGAGGAAAGAAAGGAGAAAGAAGAGAAAGAGAGGAGAAGAAGAGGAAAAGTGGAAAAATCATCAAGAACCAACATCAAAGCTCCGATTAATCGAGGTAAGGGTGAGAAACATTGCTATTTAATCATTGTATGCTATTATGTATGTTGGGTTTGGGTTTGTGGATGTTTTTCATCACTTTCCAATTAGGGCAAATGTTGGATTAATCGGTAGATTGATGATTTAATCGGTTGGAACTGAGTAATAACGCCGTAGAATAGTCGGGTAACATGTATTGATGCTATTTGTACTGATTTGGATGTTCAAGAGTTGGTGGATGGTGGAATGGTGAAGGAGAGACAGAGTGTGGTTCTGTTCTGCGCAGGTTCGCTGGCTCTCGCCAGGCGAGCGAAGGCGAATGCTGGCGAATAATTATGATTAAGTCCCAGTGGACTTCGCTGGCGAGTTCGCCAAGCGAAGGTGGATAGTGAAGGTTCGCCCAGTGAAGGTGCTGGCAAATGGTGGCGAATGAAGTCAGTAGCTACTGACTTGGGCTCGCTGGGAAGTCTCGCCAGGCGAAGCCTAGCGAGTGTTCGCTGAGAGAGTTCGCCAGGCGAAGGCCAGGCGAAGGTTCGCTGCGAGGGTTCGCCAGGCGAATGAAGGCGAATGTGACAGCATTTTTCTTTTGCTGTGTTGCTCATGTGGTGATTGTTTGATTGATTCACATAGGTTAATACCTCTATGATATGATATAGATATGATCTATTGTGATGATGTGTACTGTGGGTAGCCTCCGGGCGTGAATCCTAGTTGATGTGCGATGCGTATTAATTATGATAAATAGAAATACATGTGAATACAATGATGAATGTATGTGTATTGTCTAATGAACTTGCGAATGCTTAATGGGTATACAATTATGTGATAAGTATACATGAGAACATTGTGGATATATGTGTGCATAGCTTATAATTGTATTATTGGTACTGTGATATGTATACCTCGTATGAAATGGCATGAGATGAATAATAAACATAATACAAAAATGTATTGTGGATGTATATTGTTTATATGCGGTTGTATGTTAAGATACATGAAGAATGCATGAGAGCACATTGATGGATATGCGTGCATCGTTTGATAAATATGATGTTTGTATTGATTGGATGCGATTATGTATGAAAAATGCGTGAGAATATATCGTGAATATATGTACATTGTGTGGTAAATGTGTTATGCGTGTAAGCATGATGTAATTCTTGTATGATGAATTACTTGAGAATGCATGAGAACATATTGTGGATATGCGTGCATTGTTGATAATGCGGTGATGATATTGAATTGTGAATGTATATTGTTGGTATATGGTGGTATGAATAGAATGCATGAGAACATGTCATGGATATGTGTGCATTGCTTGATAGATGTTGTAAATGCATATTGTATGTATGTGATTAAATGTGAATAATGCATGAGAACATATCGTGGATATGTGTGCATTGTTTGATAACTATGAAGAATGCATGAGAACATATCGTGGATATGTGTGCATTGTGAGTGATAATGTGGTGATAGTGTTGAATTATGAATACATCGATGAATGTTATGTGAATATGTTGTGTGTGCAATCATAATGTAATTCTTGAAGAGATGAATTATTTGAATGCATGAGATTAAGATGTCGGTCTTAAGTGCATTTGTTGTGGCTGATTGTACATGCATCATTTAGTCAAGAGGCAATGTCTGTTAGTTTCGTGGAAACTAGTGGCTTGTCCCAAACCTAAAAGAGTGGGTTTGAAGGCTTAGAGGACGGGCCTTTGTGGTTATCGGTCTAGAAGAGTGGACCCGGTTTAATGTAAAAACCGAAAAAAGATAACGGGTTATCGGTCTAGAAGAGTGGACCCGGTTTAATGTAAAAACCAAAAAAAGATAACGAGAGTCAGTACCGCATTGCATTGAGTTGCATTGAGTTGTTGAG